GCAAGAAACGATGGATGTGGCCAAGAAAGGCATGCAATCCCGTCGACAAGACAATGTGGGAACACAACATAATAGACCAAGATCTTGGAGATAATATTGGTATTGCCAACGTCGACTCTAATGTATGGATAATGCTTTCCTACTCCTTGGCGTAGTGTAATAACGCGTTGGATTGTTTTAGGCTGAGAACGAGCATCTTATCTTGTTATGTAGATATTCGAGAGTCTTGGGCTATACCTTAGGTTTTGCTACAGATGTATTTTGGATTTTCCATATAGATAATGCTGTTGAGTTAAAAGAAGCTTGGAGCCCAACGCGAAGACAATGACCCCCAGTGTCGACTTCAAGAAATGATGTCTGTCAACTAACATGTTATCACACGATTGGGATTGGATATGCCACTTTCTGTGTACTGGACTTTTTCCGGGGATCGTAACAATGTCTCCATATCTCAATGTATCCTTATATCAACAAGGATGTCTAGATAGATACACGACTAAAACGATTGCTTTCCACATCTCGAATTCCTAGATGCAAAATTATCCTAACTCAAAATCCTCCATCAATTACAATAGATTTAAACAGACTCGCGCTTCTTCTCGCTCTGTTGGATCTCAGACCCGTCCTTGAACTCCTGGGTCTGATGCTGAGCAGTGTCAACACCGAGCATCTGGGCACCCTTCTCAGTGTGATCGACACCACCGAAAACAGTATCCATGTGCTCAAGAGAGATACCCTTGGTTTCAGGGACAAAGAAGAACACAAAAACGACGAGCAGGATGTTGACGGCAAAGAAGAAGAAGAGGCACTTGAGGCCAGTCTTGGCCAGGAATGTTGGGAAGAACTGTTGGAAAATAGTGTTGGCCACGTTCTGGCATTGAGAGGCCATACCGACGGCCTGGGTTCGGACGTTGGCGGAGAAGACTTCACTGGTCCACATCCATACACCGGCACCCCATGAGGGCTTGTAGAAGAAGCTACGGGAATATGTCAGTGTGCGTTCAAGAAAGGCCAAGAAGTAAGAAGACTCACATGAAGAGGTAGAGCATGACAACAATGCCAATAGCAGTGGGCTCGGTCTTGGGAGTGGGAGTAGCGAGGCCGATAACGGGAACAATCAACATGCAGAGAGCCATACCGGCGGCACCGACCATGAAGAGCCATCGGCGACCAAAGCGATCGGCGGTCCATACAGCGTTCAAAGTGAATAGGATACCCATGGTGGCCCACAAAGCGTTGATGAGGTTGATCTTTTCAGTCGAAGTCCAGACTTGCTTGTAAATGGAAGTGGAGTAGGTGTTGAGGGTACCCTGGCCAGTGAGCTGCTGGCCGACATTGAGGACAACTGCAATACCGAAGCGCTTCCTGATAGAGGGATCCTTGAAAAGGGCGCGGTATCCAGGGCTGATGGCCTCCTTCTCGTACTCGATAGCAGCCTGGATAGCCAGGACCTCATCCTCAACCTCCTCCTCAGTGTCACGGATACTTCGAAGGGCGGAGCGGGCAGCGTCGATCTTTCCCTTCTTGATAAGGAAACGGGGAGACTCTGGCTGGAATGGGAGCAGGATGATGACAATGATGGGAACCATGATCTGGAAGATAACAACCATGCGCCAATCCCACTCTCCGAGCTTCTCTCGGTTCTTGCCGCAGGCGAAGTTGATCCAGTAAGCAATGAAGGCACCGACCGAGTAGAAGAGTTGCCAAAAGGTCATGACCTGACCTCGAATCTCAGGGGGGGATACTTCACCGATGTAAACAGGGCCAGCAGCTGGAGGGAGTCAGTGACCAGTTCACGGGAGCTGGTGAAAGTATACAACTTACTGAGAGCGGTGCCCTGGCCCATGCCGATGAGGACACGGCCGAGAATGAAGACACCGAGCTTTCCCTTGGGGGCAAAAGCCTGGATGATAGCGGCGATGATGGTGATGAAGCAACCAATACCCATACCGGCACGTCGACCAAGCCAATCAGCCAGGGGGCCACCGATGAAGAAACCACTAACGATAGCACCGATAGTGTAGCATGTGTTGATGAGACCAACAGTGTAACTGTCATTCTTGAGGTCGAGGTTGAACCAGTTCAGCCAGTTCTCCGAGGCCTGGAGAGCGTTGAAAACACTGGAGTCAAAGCCGTAGAGCGTCATGCAAGACGCAGCTACCATGGCAATGAACCAGTTGTAGACTCTGGTCTTGCTGGGCATGTTGGCGGCGGTGTTTGGCCCTGAGCCTTTCTTTTGTCGGGTGTCTTTTGTCTAGAAGTGCCGATTATATGACTCAAAAAGAATGAGAAAGGTCGGACTCAAGAAGAGGCAGAGAAGAGAATGAGGATAGTGGGACGAGGAACAGAAGAGAGAAGGAGTGAAGATGATGCTTCCCTTGCTATCTTTTTATCTTTGAGATGAGGAAGGAACCCCCAGAGGCTAGAGCCGTCTTTCTTGCCCCCAGACCCCAGACTATGTCTTTCCTAGGTTAACCCCAGACGACCTAACCCCAGGATGCGGTTGCGGTTGCGGTTTGCGTTGCGGCTACCTATGGATGGTTTACGGACGGATACACCTTCCCCACCCCATGTAAGTCTCTAATTGTGTGTTGCAACAATCTGATGTCTCAATGTGAAGGGCCGAACTTGCTTTCTGTTGCTGCTGTGTCCTGAAATCTTAGCTTGACTAACTGTTCGGCAGTAGAGGCAGCATTTTCGCCCACCATTCACGCTCGTCACTCGACCCCTGTTACTCGACGATAAGGCAGTTGAGCATGCATACATATCAGTTTCATGTCCTCTTATCGAACGTTGAGAATTCGCTTAATTATCGTTGTTTCCACTTTTCTAGCACTGAGTTGGATCCCATCAATCATCCCATCGTTGAGCCTTCACAGTTCAAACCCCCCGCAACTATTGAACGACTTAGCTCAAGATCGGAACCCCCAAAGTTGCATCCTATTCCCCCACGATTCATCTACCATGAGTCTAAAGAATAGAATTCAGTCCAATGTATCAAAAGAAGACTCCCTTAATTAGACTTGTGATGCTACTGTGCCGTGCCGAGTTCCGTTTGCCCAGGTCGCTAACCCCTGTCATGCCCTCCACCGGCTCGGCGCCTCTGTCAGTTTTGGGTGGCATGCTTAACGCCTGTTGGAGCAATTTCTTCCTGGCTTTCTCTTAGACCTCGACTCTCTTAGGAATTGGCTTCCTTGGGGGAGTGGAGAATGGGGGGAATGTCTTTTTGCGGCTGATGATGGCCGTACCGCGTGGCCAGATGGCAGGGCATCAAAAGCTACGATTGGTGGAATATTTAGGGAAATCATTCCTCCGTCAGAAATAGTCAAAATTTAACTCTGCCCGTGCTAGACCCGTTCTGAGCCAAGCTCCTTGGTCTCCACCTCCACGATTCACCCGTGCGGAGTAGACCGCTTCACGTTTTCCTGGATCTCTTCCCCGCATTGGATTTGCCTTGGATATGGAGAAGAATCTCGGGGAGAAAGCAAATAAAGATAAGCGGTTATTGGGAAGTGATTACTCCGTGATCTTTGGTTTCTATCTATCTGAGTCTGATGGCACCACATCACCTCTGCCTTTGACAGTTGAGTCTGTCTGAACAGCACAGAGCGTCAGACAACCCCGAAACCCAAGACTCGAGGGTCCTCCAACTTGACAACGACCTCATGGATGATGGATGTAGGTAGTAGACCTGGTCAAAGCGCCGCACGGTTTGGTCGACTCCAAAACCGAACCACATAGCTCCAGCTCCAGCTCTTGCCAAGACGCCGACCCCTTATTCAGCCCGATCTTACACCCTCTTCCAAGTTGTCATATTGCATCTTGACCATACCGCTTAGATGACAACGACAGCATACCACACCATAAATCTCAATGCCAAGTGCGATCAACCCAGGGTCCCGAGCGCCACTGACAACAGACCTATGCTTCCTTTGTGTAACGGCGACGCTGTGTTCTACCTTGCAAGTGCTTGGCCTTTGCAGAGTACCGAGTAGCTACCTACGCTTCACAGTTTCCCTCTCCTTGATAGCAGCTCAGTAAAAACTAACTGACTCTCTGGCGAGAGTACGTTCAACATAAAACCAAATCACGCGGCTCCTATGTCCGGGGCGGGGTCGGCCGATTGCCAGATAAATGATATCGAATACTATACGGTATTTCTGCCTTGACTCCATCATTCCAACTCCGAATGACAGCATTGTCACCCCAAACTTTGCATCTATGCCCACCGCTTATACCCTGAAGAGAATGCACAATTGCTTTCGGCTAAATTCGAATCGATGCAGTGGTGTTCATCATACTTCCCTAATCTCAGCCAATAGGTTGCCTTACGATGTTCTAGTCGAGGGTCCTAGTCGCAGAGTCACAAAAGGCATTGCCAGTCTAAAATAGGTAGACTACCGATTCAATCCTTTCAATGAACTCACGCACTATGAGCCATCCTGATTTGAAAAGAAATCATCCTCCTAGTTATTGAGTCTCGATTCACACCAGCCATAGGTTTCCCTGTCCACAGCTGCCCAACAGACATCGAGAATATTACAAAGTCGAAACCTCTTGTCTGGCCTATTGCATAACCCTACGAAGATATAAGTAAGAACTGAGATTATGTGCCACTTTGGCATTGTTTGAATCGCAATGTTCATGAGTATGTCCATACCCAATTTCCTTGTTTATAACTTCGAGTCTCTGGCTTATGCGGTCTGGCTGACCTACATCAATAAAATTGCAGACTCCAGCTCCTCCACAGCATATTGAACGAGGTATAATACACTGCATCTCCGAACAGCAGGAAGTTAGGCTTTAACTCTACCAAAAATCTAACCCAAGAGTCTTGGCCTGAAGCGAGCGTACTTTGGAGCTAAGCATGACGAATGTTTCTTCTATCATCTCCCAACCTCCGATTCTGGGATGTGTTATCAGGAGTCGCCACCGTGGAACATTTGTGTAATATCAATTCCTCCCCATGGCATCTCCTTGGATTACTGTGAGCCTTATTTTTAAAAACCAGCCTGAGTTTGGGGTGGTATACCTCTGCCCTGATACTGTAATTGGTACTGTTCTCTAGCAGTATCACGTGCTTGCCTTCGCCTCGAAAGTCGGTCCACCATTTCCTGGGATATCATACCAAAGCTTTCTCTCCAGGTTGAGGCATCTGCCCAACGGTCTCCATAGGTATCTAATGTCTGTGAGACCTTATCGAGACACCTCAAGCTGCGATCAAGGTTATCCTCTCCATTCATTCCTTGGGGTTGCAATCGTCTTGGGAGAGGAGGGGCAGGTGCAGCACCCGGACGAGAAATTGGAATTGGAACCGGCATTCCCGAAAGAAGCATATCTTCTGCATCTCTTAGAACCGCGAGGAACTGATTCGCCATAAAATAGACCCTCAACACGTCATGGTATGTATAGAACCCGGAATTTTGTGCACCATGTGCTATCTCGTGGACAGTGTCAAGGTAGGCCATCGAGTGTTCAAAAATCAGGATACGGTTATAGTCGGTGATGCTGGGTGCCCTCGCCGAGGGCGCAATACAGTAGACGTAGCTATACCTCAGCTCCTGGTCGAACAATTGTCTGATTTCAGGGGCCAGATTTGTAGGCAGAGTGTCTTGCCATTCGCGCATATCAAGACACATTTTCCAAATATAGGAGATTGGATCCTGCAGAGGGACCGAACCTGATTGGTACAACTCCTGATACCAATGGGATTGCGCTCGCCGGAGTTGAAAGAGCAGCAGAGCAGGGTCTGCGGGCCGGGGACCGGTGATGGGACCTGACGCAGAACTCTTTCTACCGTTATTAGATGCCTGAGGAAAGGCGACATTAACAGTGTCATCAGTAAACGAGAACGTCCGCGCATGGACCATACTGATGGCACTAAAGTGTAGGTTAGCAGGTGCGGGCTTGGTCACAAAGAAAGGGTTATAGAAACTTGCCGATCAAGAGCATAGACGCAGTAAAAGATTTTGCGTCGCATGTCCAGAGACGCTTTGTCAGGGACAGAAGACAAAGGAGGGTCTTGGTGGAAACCTAGGTCAACTATCGCACGAGCTGTGAAACCTATCAAATGCCAGCTATCGAAGTGGGCAGGGTCCAACATGGCATACTGCGTCAAAAGAAGAAGCGACTGGATTTGCGTCACGTATCCAGGGGTGAGAGCGCCATCAGCATGATTCATAGCTCTGGACGCATACTCGAGGCCAGTAAGATAGTGTGTGTCCTGGCTACGTTTGCTTTGGGCTGTAGAGCCAATGGCAAGGACCATGTACACCATCCAGTAGTCCGAGTCTTTGATAGTCCGGGTATCTTCTTGATATATGTCGTCAAGAGCAGTTAAAAGTGAGGTTTCCGAAAAGCAGGGGAACAACGAATAGACGTTGTCCATGTAATGCTGGACTAGCACATGGGCAGTTTGCCTTGGAGGCAAGCGGGCTTGGTCAGACTCTGGAAGGGCATCGTTCGTGGTTGCCGCCAAGACAAGTCTAGCAAAAGTCATGTTTGTTGATATAGGTTCAAAGTCTCGCGTTGTCGCATTGACAGAACTTTCGAGGCATATTAGCACCACAATCAAGGACTTGAGTTGCTGTTTAGTACTTACAGAAAGCCAAAGTCGGATACAAGAGAGTTGACATCAGAAGTCTCCCGCTTTTGCGCCGCTTTGCGATGTATAGCGGCGCGAATGAGCGCCAGAGAGTCTCTACGGTCCATCTGTTGCACATTAAAGGCCGATGCATCCGTATCATGGAGTGCAACGGATGCCTTGCGTGATTTTGCAAACTGAAGCCGTTTTTCAAGCTTCTCTATGCGTAATTCCAAGGCCGCCACGTAACTGAGCACAAAGATTAGATCGGCTGTCGCTCTCAGAGGCCAAGTTATGGACCAACCTTCTCTCCTTGCCTCGAGCGAACTGGTCGTTTGCTGCTGAACACTCATTTGAACGACCAGCCTTTTCGCAGGCTGTACAAGCCGGTAGTTTGCCATCACACTATATGATATTAGCCACTGTCCGCAACACATGAGCCGCAAGCTGGTTGTTTTTACCTTGACTTTGGCAGCGCGGCCTTATACATAAAGTCAGTCAGCAAACATGGTCCCTCGAATACAGGTTCACTACTTACACCGAGAGCAAGCGGACACTGGCCTTGACACCCTCAAAAGCGGGTTGTGAGAGAAACTCGGACGTGGCATGTTTTCAATCCTGTAGATGCCGATCTAGCACAAGGTACCGACGACAAAAGTCCTGAAGGACTGATATTGCGGAGTGTCCGTGAGATCAACTACAATAAGCGTAACGAATAGAGCCTGACTGGAGATAGTAGTTGCTGGGTGAAGTCTGGGGTAACAGTTCGTTTCGAGCGTCGTCAAATTTCTCCACTCGGAAGCGGGACAATTTAGACCACGAGGACCAGGTTGGTTCCAGGAGTCAGTGGATTGACCTGTAATCTAAGCCGTTGACTCTGGTGATGCAAAGAGATTGTAGTTGGCCTTTGAAGAATCTCAAGGAGGCTGACCACAACGTGAAGCGCAATCAGGAAGGGGCGTGGGAAATGGGCGCGGTCTTGTGCAGGTAGTCAATCCACTGTTCCGTGGCGTCGTTGGCTAGTTCTTCTGAGTGGACGGTTGCGGGACAATGATCCAGGAATGGACTTGAAAGAACTCGATGCGTCGATAACGCGTTGTATTGGGGTTTCAGATCTCTCTTTAAGTTTTTGGAAAGGACAGGCTCAGATGATGACGGGAGGGAAGTGGCATCTCAACCGCAAAACATGGCAATGTAGGCAGTTTTGTTGATAACAAAGGTAATAATAAAGTGCTATTGTCTCATCGAGTCGACTCGTGTCGCTCGAGTTGTTCGGGCGGGGCGGGGCAACAAATGTGGGTGGATAAGGTAGAGAATAGATGGCGTAGTGCGGTTATACAGCGGCACAAATGACGATTAGCAAGAGGTACAGATTCTATTATGTGGTCTGTGATGAGCAAGTTTAGTCTTGAAGAACGTTGCTATTCCTGACGGTGGTAATAGTTGTTGTTATTATATATCAAGAATGTCAGCGGCATGAGTGTAAGGAAGAAAAAAGATAAGCGCGAGCCTCCATAAGTGTACGAACAGTTCAGTTGTTTATTATTGGCAAGTAAGCTCATCCCAGTTAAACAAGCACCCTACCTCGGTTGATGATTGTCAACTCTATTCATCAACCCCAGAACAACAATTAGGGTCAGTGATGAATGACCCCCCGAAGCCTGATTATCTAATATACCAACTCCCATTCACAAATTTCCCTGTTTACAAAGGTTCCAAACTCTATCATATGCTGTCTTATTATGCCATCTTAAGCCACCGGAATGCAGAGTTGTAGATCCAGGGCGAACTTGGGATACGACGAATCTAAGACGGACGGGCCGGATTCATTTCCCCGATGCACGCCAGTTCAATACTATTACTTTAAATACTGCCGAATACTTTAGTCCATGTGCCTGTGTACGTACTTGGCTTGTAGAATACTGTGCAATCGTAACTCCCTTCGATCTCAGACACGCCAACGTTTGTTGGTTTTAAAACTATATGTTTCTCTACTTGACTGAAACTCCCATGCTTGGACTGGCGACAAGCAAATGCTATAACATTAACGACTGAGTAGCAGGTAAGATTGAATTTTGTATTGACTCAAAACAAGGCATCAGATGTTGAACCAAGGATGGGAGCATATAGCAAGGTTTTGTCGCTTATTTATCAACCGATAGAGGCGCCAACAGACTTCGAGGCTAAGTAGGATACCTGCATTAGCGGGTCTCGTGAGTAAGGCGTCCAATCCATGGCAGATGAAAACAGAAGAAATCATGCATGCATAGTAGGTACGGATAACTACTAAGGTATTCGTCCGGCTGGAGAAGAATCATTTCCGCACGGTACTTGAGTATCGAGCTCACGTTCCGCGACCCATAAATTAACACGATGTGACACTGGAGTGGGCTCTATCAGATTGCGGCAGATGCCTGAATCTATAACAGGGAATCGTATATGGATGGGTCATTTAAGGTACGTGTTGTGTTGTGTTGTATTGTGAGGGACTTCCTGAACATCCATATTTGCGCGACATGTCATTGCTGACACGAGTATCACGTATCGTTCTTTGTGCGCGCGCCATCTTCCAATGTCGCATATGGCTTCTCGGCCACATGATCCATGCGAAATGCATGTCCTGGAATCAAACGTTGAAGGTCCCAGAGCGGGCTGACCGAACAATAAAACCCATCACAATTCAGCACCTGTCATTCAAGGATCTGCACTAATAGAGGTTAAGACTAGTCCTGTCGAGGTAAAGTCAATTTTCGTCCACCTTATCTGGGGCCCGGGGGGAGGGGGGGAGGTTTCCTGTAGTTAGTTATGCTGAAACATTCATCACTCAGCCAATAAGTTAATAATATTGCCGCCGAGTTGTCAAACAGCTCGTGACTTCTGGTACTCATCAAGAACCTTATCGTTCTAGCGGATCCAAGCATAAAAACAAACCATGGTCTTGTGGTTTAGACCAGCGAAACATCGGTGCTAATGTCTATTCTACTGCAGCCAGCTATTTTCTCTCAATTTTCACCAGAGGCCCTAATTCTCTAGGTCAACTTACTAAGGCATTGGTGATGATGCGTTGACATACCTGACCCTGACCCGCCCAGCCTTCTGTGCCGCTTTCAACTCCAGTGGAGGCTTTGAATTTCTCAGGGTCTTGTTAGCGAGCATCGACCTCGAACAGTTTCCCCGCTATTGTAACCTCGTTTGCCCTGGACGCTTATTAGGCGTCGCAAGAGTCAAGCAGCCAATCAGCAATAACTAGCTTGCCCATCGACCTGTTGCCTTGCCCCTCGTTTCCGCGTCGTCGAAGAAATGACCTGCTTTGGCGTACATCCATCCATACCTCACCTGGGTAGGTACCTACCTACCTTACACAATCACTTTGCCTGTGTCCTCTGCCAAATACTCCCACAACACAAGCGCCTGACCAATATTATTCAGTCAACCAGCGGTGATGTTGCCATCAGCATATACACCCCTTAACATCGCGGATTATCCATAAACACTTCATCGTTTTGGTTCAAGACCCCGGCCCGTTCCTGTGCCTTGTTTGCTTTGTTTCTATTCCTTCCGTGCGTGCGTAACCGTGCCTCTCAGCGCAACAGCATCGGATGCCTGCGCGCGACCAAGTTCAACATACCTCATAGGCGATTGCGCCAATATATCCAATGGACCCGGCAGACATCTTCCGACAAGGCTTCGGCCAAGTCGCTCCCCGCCAGAATCCCGTCTTCATGGGTCACCCTCAACACCACATGGTCCAGTTCCAGCAGCAGCAGCAGCCGCCACCTCCGCCGGCCTTCAGGAAACCTGTACAGCAGACCGACGAAACTTCGGATGGCGACGGCTCGAGTCACCGCATTGCCCACACTCTGACTGCTTGCTGCCGTTGCCGACAGGTACATATCATCTTGGTGCAACTCTATCTATACTGAGCTACTGCTAATGTATTCCTACATAGAGGAAAACTCGATGTGATCCAACTTTGCCCCGCTGTTTGCCATGTGAAAGATCCGGATCGACTTGCGAATACCTCGATGCAGCCAAAGGTCGCAAGATCAACAGGCATTATGTTATTAGGCTACAAGACAAAGTCAGGCAACTCGAGGCCGAGCTTAGCCAATATACTGACGACGAAAATGAGTATCCTACAAGTAATGAGGATATGGTACGGCCCGGCGGAATGGTTCGTCTGAATGGTGGTGATGAGACCCCGCGATACCTAGGACCCAGTAGCGGTATTGCAATGACACGCCTTCTTATGGAGCAAGCGAAGAGATACACGGATTCCAAACGCATCTCCGACCTCATTCCCAGTGTCCGCGCCAGACAAGCTCGTATGCAGTCCATACAAATGACGGGGCCTTCGGCAAGGAGAAAGAGTTACCCCATGATTAGCCAGCATCCAGCCGAGAGTTTGCCAACAAGAGCCGTTGCAGATAAGTTACTGGAGATCTTTAACCAGAAAGGTAAGCCTAAATCCTGTTCTGAGCTACTCCATTAGAAATGCTAACTTATGGAAGCCCAACTCTTCTGGCCTGTTCTTCACGAAAAGGATCTTCTACAGGATTTGGATGCGGTCTACAATAACGACACTGATCCGTATCGGCTTTTTATTATTAGAATGCTTGTAGCCATCAGCTTACAAAAGCTTGACACCCAGTACGCTGGTTTGGCAGACAGCTACTACTTGGCAGCAATGCAATTGTTCGAAGACGTTGTCCGCCCCAAGGATCTCAAGACATTGCAATGTCTTGTGCTTCTCGGAGAATATTCGCTTCTCACCCCTACAAGGACGCCAATCTACTATGTGATCGGCCTGGCAGCTAGAATATGCCAGCAGGAAGGACTAGCGAGCGAGAAGACTATTTCTACAGGGTACAACATGGATGCCAAAACAATCGATATGAGGAGGCGGATTATCTGGACTGTCGCCGCGATGGAATATGGCTTGGCGCACAGTATGGGTAGGCCCAACAATTTTGCGACAGGCGACGACCGGCTAGACGTCGAATTTTTCGCAGCGGTCGACGACGACAACATCACTGACCAGGGCATCCAGCCGGGCCCTCCCAGTGAGCGTAAACTTGTTGCCATTCATTTCTACAGAATGAGAATGTGTCAGGCCGAGATCCGAAGGGCTTTGTACGAGAAGAAGAAGGATGAACCAAAGAACGACTCGCACCCTTGGTTTGCAAGGATTGAGAAGATGAACAAAGAATGGCTAGATGCATCTCCCACAAGCCCCGATTGGTGCAAGCCTTGGTATGTCCCCCTCCATTTTATTGCTCTCTGTGTCTAATGCGATCCGATAGGTTCACCGGCAGGTATCACCAGATGAGGATATTCATGTATAGACCCTCTCCGCAGATCCCAAAGCCATCATCTCGTGCCGCGGCGATTTGTTACGAGAGCGCAGCGTACATCATCCAGCTCAATGCTAAGCAGATGGGAAGTGGCGCAGATCTCACCTGGGTTTTCCTTCTTACCGTGAACATGTCCCTCAACACACTGTTATGGACGGTTTCGTATCCAGAGGTGCGCCGAACGCATCCCCGTCATGAGGTTGAAACCCTCGTTCAGACTTCTATGGAGGTTTTGGATCGTTGTACAGAAAGATGGCCCGGGACCGCATCCGCCTCGCAACTTTACTCCATCTTCTCGAAAGCTTGTTTACAGGGCTACGACGAACGCCCAATTACGGGGCAGGCAGCCGGTTTCTTCACTACGCCCCCTTCCTTCGCGGACCCCAACTCGCCCGAAGCCTTCCAGAACCTTCAACAAGTCCAGGCCCCGTATCAGAACCCACCTCAGTTCAATCACGTCTTCAACTCACCACCAGAGGCCATGAATGCTTACGCCTTCGATCCCAACTTCCCTCCCCCGCAGCCGAGCTTCAGGTCTAACTCTATCTTCTTCAACCCTGCGAGCAATGAACCCACAGGGCGAAGATTCTCATACTTCCCACCCGACTTTATGCAGCCTGGCGAGACCATGATGGATGACCCAACACCGCCAGCCACCACGACCCCTGAGCAACATATGACATCGCCTCCGGATCACATGTCAGAGCAATTGCCAACTCCTCCCGACAGTATCCCCACCGGCAATATGACAACACCAACCCCTAGCAACACTTTATCGCCCTCAAACACCCTGACAGCCCATCCTACACCTATTATGCAGCATGCTTCGCCAGCTGGAGTTTCTCTGATGCCCGTGCAAACGAACATGTCCCCTCCTATCAAGATTGAACAATCTCAGCGTGGGCCCACGTTTGTTGTGCCTCAAAACTCACAGGCTGCACCTACTCAAAGGCCTCTACCAACCCCAAGCGGTATTGGCGATTGGTTCTCGCCTCCTGCTCCATTTATTTCCCCGTACGCTTTTAACAACATGAGCAACAGTTTCTTCAACGATTCCATGGCGAATCCTGGGAACTATGGCGATATGTCAGGCTCTGGTCTTGGGCTACAGAATATTCAAGGCGGGAATGCCCCTCCTCAGTTTGACTATGGCTTTGCTAGGCAGGGTAGCCTTACACAGTCTCAGCAGCTTGAGTTGATGAATGTGCTTGAGACCGAGGGGATGGGGGACATTGATGCGTTCCTCAACGGGGGGAACATAGCTAACAGGTGGTATTAAGATTATTGCTAAATATAAGATAGGATAGAGTGAATTTAGGCAATGGATTGGTTTCACAGGATATGTAAGCATGGGCGGCGTTTCTTGGTTATAAAGCATTAGACATTGTCTGCGGAAGGACGCTTGAATTATAGACCTGCTCCTGTTTCGAGTCTTGATTTATGCTGTATGAAATCCATTGGTCATGAAAAGTCCCGCCCCGAGACCACTTAGTGAAGTACACAAAAAAATTATCTTTCAGATATCAAGCTTACTCTTCATCATATAAGGCTCCCGCGAACAGGGGCAGGCAATATGCCAACTGAGTGGCAAGAAGTGTCAACCAAATAAATAGGGGGTTAGCAAAGGGTAGTTATAACGGCCCAGTTTATTTTTCATCTTTAAGGCTCATCTTCTCTAGAGGAACAGCCTCACTTGCCCTGCTGACAGGCTTCTTGGTACGCTTCTTGCGTCGCGTGGTGCCAGTGACGGGGGGTACTTTCTCTACCCACTGTCCGATAAGGCTAGCCCTCACACTGCAAAGGGGGTAGTCGTTGCTATCTTCGTCAGACCATCCCTTGAGACCTGAATTGTTAGTAGATGTTGCATTGGATGAAGAGCCGTTGGCAGCAGCGGCTGTTGCTGCACGTTCTCTCTCATCGCGCTTCTCTCTAGCCATAAGGGACGCACGGAAGGTAGCATCATCACAGACTCGCTCATCATTAAGGGCTTCGTAGACTCGCTGGTTGTGTTCCCGTTTGAGCTGTCGCTGCTTATCTGCCTCACTCGGTACGGCTGGTCTAGCGTTGTCAGGTCCACCATTGATCAGAGATGCGGCGGCGGCGGCGGCTTCCTTGCGAGTAGTACCGATGTGCATCTTTGTGGCATTCTGGGGGAGGGTATCGTATAAGAACGGGAGGGGCGCAGGTATGCACAAGGTCTCCCAGGAGGCGCTGAGCTGTAGCCAGTTATCATCGGCGCGGCGGAGAATTTCGACCCAGTCCGACCGAGCAGCAGAGCGACTAGGTTGGAAGACCGGATAGCCATCGGCGATACGGATCAGCCTTGCCGCCATGTAGGTGTGGCGTTGAAGCTCCTTGGTCGAAGTTTGGGCTAGGCAGTGGCAAAGGAGAAGGGAGTGAAGGGCGTCGGCCATAAGGGGGTGGTAGGTCGACCATTCGCATGTCTGGGGCATATCAAAAAGCGGTGTTTTGCCATTTGAGTTTGTCACCTCTTGGCTAGGATATGGAGGGAGATCTGAAGGGGGGACGGCGGCGAAGAGTTCCGAAATGGCGTAAGTGGTATGTGGCTCGAGAGAGGATGTGGCCTCAGAAGGGCGAGGATGGCGGCTGCCTTTTGCGGAGGAATTAACTCGATCATTAAAGTCCTTTGCGAGGGAGGATGGCAAATTGGGCGCGTACTCAAAATGTGACATAAAGGTGAGAAGGTCTCGAATTGCCAGTCTTGCATACTTCTTGACAAGCTTCCGCGCTTCGGTCTGTTCACGGAGAGACTTTTCTTCCATCTCTGGCGACTTGCGGCCACTGACTTCTGGATCAAAGGCGTCGTCTGGGCTATGCGAATCGGGATGCCCACTCTGGCTCTGACTTGTCGGGATGCCATCTTCGATATGCTGACATGCCACTGATAGGTACGCCGCGCCACGGAGGAATAACAGTTGAGATTCCAAACCACTCGGTTGCTCTTTCTCAGATGGGATGATGTCCTGACGCCATCGTCTACCCCGATGTGAATACTGGGACTCTAGTTCGTCGCCACTGAGTCGATGGGGCTGTTGATGTATTCGGCACACTGTGAGAGCGGCCGTCAAGTCGTGAGCTGCGCCTTCAAAATCCTCCTTGAAAGTTTTGACGATTGCACGCGTTCGGAGGGCTTCGCCCTCGTTGGGCCTCTCGGATATGATGTCTATCAAGGGCTGGAGACTAGTAGACTCTGCCAACTGACGCGAGGGTATTTTCTCATGAAAGAAATGTACATATTTGGCATCTAGATCCTGTGGGTTACGCAACAGCACCAGCGCCCCGATCTCGTCAATCGGTGAAGCACCCTGCATTGTTGCAACGCTGCAAGCAATTTCATCTAGATGGTATGCACGGCTAAGCTTCTGGCTTGCCTGCTCTCTCATCCGAAACTTGCGCTCACGGCTCAACTTTGTCCCATGTCCTGGCCCCGTCATTCCCAACACAGACATAGGAGATGCGCCGGGTAGCCCACCATGGACGTTAGTCAACACGGGTGAGGCAATGTCACTAGCAGCTCTCACGGCAAGATTGGTGGCTTCGTCGACGAGACGGCGAATCTTCAGTAGGTCATAGAGGACGGCAGGGTCAATAGGGCACGGCCGGGGGGTATTGTAGTTGATGTTGGCAATTGTTTCGAGGATCTCGATAGGCATTTGGAGCCACGGACCGTGGAAAGCGGATATGTATCGCCAATGCCTAAGGTAAAGCGTCAACGCCGTAATCGAATGGATCGCAAATGGCCACTTTGCAAGAAAATCAGCGGCGCATAACCAAACCTACTTGTTCCGGCAAATATTAATGGTCTGGAAAGACGAAGACGAGGAAGAAGAACCATCCTTGGACTTCTTTGGTTTTTTCTCTTGACCCCCTCCGTTTGTGTCCATAGTATTCGAGGTTTGTGGATGCGTTTGCAAAGCGTTGTCCAGGGTCGCATTCTGCCCCTCACCACCAGGACTTTGATTGCCTTTTTTCTTTGCCATATTTGGTACTGAAATCGCGGCGTAGGCGAAAAGCACGAGCAGATGCCTTGTGCGCTGGTACAAAATCTGGGGACCCTCGAACCGGCTTGATCGCAGACCGCAATGTGTAGATCGATCAAGGGTGTATTCTGGTATGGAAGACGTGGGGTAAGTGTAAAGAATCCAGTTGCGGCGATTGCATGAGGACGAGGAAAAGGCTAAGAAATTTCGACTATATTGATGTTGGCTGGGAGAAAGCTCTGAGATAAGGATTTTGTGGTCCAAAAACAATAAAATCGTCGGACTGCTATTGTGCTCGAACGCAAGCAATTGTCATGTTTTTCTGTAGAAATGTAGAGGTGGTTTGGATATGATGCAAATCACGTGAATGGAAGGCAGAGCTGTGAAGTCGCTGGGGAAGGTGCTTCATCGATAAGCGAAGGTACAGCCAACAGCAATCTGGGATGGAAGCTACCTTACATTTCCTTAGTCAAATTGAAAATATGGATCTGAGATCTCTTACAAGTGAGTGTGCCAGTACTTAAGTGTCATTATTAGGCTGCCTCCCTCGCGAAAGGTCATGCTCAGAGATCTTTTAGTTAGGTCTTGTCTGATCGTCTTTTCTTTGAAAGCTCTTGTTCCACGAATGTGTTATCCTAGCGAGATGAAAGCGATTACAAAGACGGAACTTCGCTACAATTCTGTGACTGTTGGATAACTAAAGTCAGCGCGGCCAACATGTGTTCTTTGTTATTTCTCGGAAATATAAATCATTAACTTAGGTAGGTTAGGAAGTGATTAAGGTGTATGTGACTATAAATATTCCCTTCTGAGACCTATCCCCAGCGGCTTGTGTGGACAAATACACAAAAACCATCCCCTTTCACACAAAGCTCCCTGACGCACACAGAACTCTTTAGCTAATTCCTCATGAAAATTCAAATAAGCATCAAGCTCTTCCAACACATCCGTTAACGCCCATATACAAGGTCGCGCTCACTAAACTCCTTTTCGGATGTGAGATAGGGGAACTTCTCCCGTAGCGGTAAATCCTTTGCTGTTCCGAGTAACCGTGGTATTGGTGCGCTTTTTGTGAGGAACTCGTTGGAAAAAAATGATATTAAGGCCTGTATATCTCGCTTCGTCGTCATGGGACCGAGACTCGCGCGAACGATTCTGCCTCTGTCAGTTGACGAATTCCATGATTAAAGAAAGGTATGGTGAAACTTACCCTGTTGGCTTATTATGAATGACTGCCATCTCACTCGAACCACAGGCGTGTCCGCTTGAGAAGATCCTGTCCCATTCCCAGTCCTCATAGTCCAAGGCTTTAGCGACACCACCAGGGCAGCAAACGCCTGAAGCATAATCGTCAGCAATGTTGACACGAATCCAGATGAATTCCTTACCTCCTGCTCGTATGTATACTCCAGCACTATTGGCAAGCTTCTCTACTTCCGTCCAGGGGATATATTGGCCATCTTCTTTCATAATGCTGAAGGCAAAAGTTGGCCCTTGAAGTGAAGGATCGCCATACATGAATGGGCTATCAACATATAGCTCGATCAACGGAGATCCGTTTCGGTGCTTCAGTTCCACGAGACGCTCATATAAGTAGCGAGCGAGATAACAGCAATGACGGGATATCATATCCTGGACCAATCGTCAGTTAAGCTCAATTTTAAAGTGCCATGACGACTCACCATTGAGCCGTAAAGCCTTAGGTGTGTATCAATAGCTACTCCAAGCGCCAAGATACTGTGAAATGGCAGTGTGCCATCCTCGACACCTTCATGTATATCCCATATTTTGTGCATATCCCCCAGCCCGGGAACTTTCTTCATAACCCGAGAATCTTTTGAGGGGGATAACTGAGCAATTGTTCCTCCGCCAAAATATCTCCTCAGGTTCAGTATATGTCCTGATGCCCTCCTGACAACCAATGCTCCCAAATCAGGGAAACCAAATATCTTGTAAAACGAAAGGCAAGTGAAGTCGGGTGCATCAATCGGATCGTGGAACAGGGAGCTGAGGGAGCTAGTCATAGCGAGAGCCGCAGCATCGAAAAGGGTATAAACATTTCGAAGCTGAGGGTGTTGCCGTATTCTTTTCGACCAGTCCTGTGGCAACCGGCGTCCACTTAGATTCGACTGGCCTGGGTATGCGAACAAGCCCAGACTGGTCGATTTTCCACTTCGGGACTGGCAGCTGAAAGGCCGCGAGATCCATTCTTCAACACTCTCATCATCTTCGAAACAATGATAGTCCCCTGACGTAAGTGCGCGAACCCCGATAATACTCGTGTGGGCTTCCTTGTGACATCCATACCAGAAACCTTTGGTCGGGGTCTTCTCTCCGATGTCCCGAAACGCGTCAGCAACTAGCTTGATAGCAGACGTGGCATTGGCGACGAAGACCAGGTCGAAATACTTTGGATCAGCACCAACGAAATCAAGAGCTTTTGCACGGATATTATCCACCATATCACCCGACAGCTTTGCCGGGAGATTCTCTGAGTGCGGATTGCCCCAGAGGTTACCAATCATTGCTTGGGAGAAGCCGGTTATAAGTGATCGCGCATATATGGTAGCTCCTCCATGATCAAGATAAGCCCCTGTAAGTAAGCGTCAGCGGATCTGGGGATGAAGACCCAAGGAGTGAGACTGGCACACCTTGTGCCATGTTGGGATACTCGTATTCTCGGAAATCCTCAACCGATGAGTTGTATTCCATGTCTGGAGAACGTATATCTCGCTCTGAACGATGTTCGAGCGCTGTATTTGTGTCTGCCTGAGCACATAGTCAGTCTCATTCTCAAGATCGACAGATTGGTGGCTCTGGATTACAAAGCTGACGCACCATGACTGAGGGGGCCATAGAGGCAGTTGATTGACTAGCAGTTGTGTTTGGCAAGGGAGAAAGACTTTCCCGAGTATTAACGGAAGATGAGACAGTCTCGGAAGATAAACAATTGTTCATCAACGATAAGAACCATCGAGATCGGTCAACAAGTACTTTAATTGACTTTGCAAGCAAGGAACCATGGTCAAGGGATATCCGGGGACAAGTCACCACCTGGCTCACAGCCGCTCACCAACCAGAATCAATATATGACACAACTCTGATCTGATCAGCCCGGTTCCTCGGCTTGGCCTGCATCTGTATCTGCACGTCCAAGCTAGGGCGGTTTCTCCTTCTGAACCTTTCCATGTGATAGAACATTCCCGAACTGAATATAGTCAGCTACCCAAGGCCAAATCAAGGAAGCAATGCTGAATACAGTAACAAGGGTCTGAAGACTCTTCAGCCAGAAGCTGCTTGACTTCTCAAAGGTTGAGAACCTTGCACCTTGCCTGAATGTTGACTGATGCTTTTCATGTTGATGAGCTGAACAGCCTGTGTTCCAGCTGAAAGAAGAGATGGATGCAGCTAAAATCCTTTAGCTTGGCTGGTCAGCTCTAATGATTCTTACGTGCGCTAGGGCCGGGCCTCAACAACCATGATTTGGGGGCAGAGGTGCACTAAAATAGAATGCAGGAGATCCATGATGCACAATCCCAGTCTCGATGCGAGCAGGGGTGGAAGAGAGTCCGGAATCTTCTACAGCAATCGACTGATACCACTACTCAACAAATAAACAAGAAATAGTGCTTATTGTTGGATGTTAATGCCTCATTATCGCATCTCTCTTATGAAGCATGGTTTGTCCTTGATTATTGAAAGCCCTGGACAAATGAATTGATAACTTCGGTGGAAAAGTACAGCTACCCTAAGCTTTCTCACAACGAATCTGATAACAGTTAGTGAAAGGTCAAGGGGTTTCACAAAGGTCCCTATCAAACTAAGGGAATGGAACGAGAGCCTCCGAGACTTCCATTTAAGAACTGGATCAGCATTTCTTCTTGTACGTACCTTGATAGTATCAACTCCATGACATCCACAAGAAACAATGCCTAACTCAATAGGCCAGTGATAACGAGCATATCTGCGCTGTATACTACTGGTTACCGACCTAATACCCCTAACGGCCGACTTGCATTGATTTTCACCGAGACATGCGCCACAATCGTAAAAGGCAGATTTCAAATAGGATTCTTTTTTATTATGCCTGCTTGTCAACAAAATAGAACACCCTGCAGCTCCTATCAATCAAGCTTTGTTCAAGGGAACAGCAATCTGCTTCCAGACAAGACAGAAACCTTCAAGTTTTTCTTCACGAACTGAACTGAAATCGCCCCTCGCATCGAGTACAGTTTCATCATTAACTCCCCTCACATCGCAAGAATGAATGCAAAGACACCAGCTAGGGCAAGGTTGATCGGGAGCGTAGCAGACGAGGCACCGTTGGGGCTAACAACGCTAGTCTCAGTAGAAATAGGCTTGCCGCCAGTGCTAGTGCCTGTGCTTGATGGAGTAGGAGTGTTCGTCTCAGGGTTGACAGTCTCAGTCGGAGTAGGGAGGTAGGCTGGGGCAGTGTAGTTCCCGTCGATAACACCTGGGTTCAGGTTAACAAAGTTGGCGCATGTCAGACGGGTCTTGTTGGCATAATGAAGAACAAAGGACCGGTTGCCAAAGTAGGCCCCGATGTCTTCTTTGGTGGAGGCATAGTAGTCGATGTAGTTGGCTGTGAAGGGGTCGCTGGTGATCTTTCCATGCTTTCCACTGTTGTCTCCAACCTGACAAGAGGCAGGTTTCTCAGGGTCACAGGGAGGCTCCTCGCCACGAGCGAAAGGGTCGAGATGGGCGAGAGTGGCGGTACAGTTGCCATTCTCGGGAACAGGTTCAACGTGGATGTGGTATGCTATGGCAAAGTCAGCTACAGTCTGGCTGAGCGATAGTCGAACAATTACTGAAGGGACCTCCCTCCTTGGGAAGGTTGCTGAACTGGACCTTGAACTGGACGCCGTGTCCATCACTCGGAGCTTCAGCCTCGATAAACCCCTTGACGTTGCCGTCGATTGCGGTATCTTTGAAGAAAGGCTCCTTGGGAAGGGTAGCCTTGTATTTGACACCAATAGGGTTGTCGTTGACTCTGAGAGCATCGTGAGAGTCATCCTGGCCAGCAACCTGTCCGGCAAGCGCCGAGAACAGGACGGCCACGATAGCTTGAGTGCGCATTTTGAGTGAGATTGTAAAGCTGTGCAATTTGTGTTGTGTAGGCAATGCTGTGTGTAAGGCAAGCAAAGCAGGTGCGACTAAAGACCGTCGAGGCGAAGTAAAGTACTAAGGATCTCGATATTAAAAGAATACGAGCGAGTGAAATGAAATGACCACTAGGGCCCGACAGAATTATTTAGGTGCTGAGGCTTGCTCAAAAGTGAATCAGCGGATCCAGACTTAGGTAGGTTGAGATGAGATGATGAACGGCAGTGACATTGACAGTGGCAGTGGCAGCCGAAGCTATATATAGCGTGGGCGCTGAAGCTTGCCAAGAGCGTCATCACTACCTATGCGATAATCCCAGAGGAATAAATGAACATGGATTGGCCAAAACGTAAACAGCTCTCAGTGCAAGGCTACAAGCCGCATAAACGAGGAATTGCTAAAGTCCCCATTCCGTGTTGGGCAAAGCCTGGTCTGAATTTGTGCAGCAACCAGCAACCAAAAAGAGGCTCTTTACCTCCATTCCCAACGAATGAATTGCCTAGCAAATAACGCGGGGGGAGAGACGATCCATTCTGGGCCCGGTAGCAAGCAATAGTCTCCCTGTGCCGAGATATCAGTCCAACGATTGGTGGCTACAGGGGACAGCCCGTATTCACGAGCGACGTGGCTTGGGCTTTGCTTGTTTCAACGGACACGGCGCCATGCGTTTGTTCACCTTTTGATTCAACGGCTATGACGGCCAAGCACAGCGTGGGGTATCAGCGGACATCTCAAGCCCTCTGAAAAGACTGAAAGCTCTTCGGCACACGGAACCCCGTGTTTGCCAGGAGGGGTGCTAAGGATGGTGCATCGCTGACAGGCGACAGACAGCCAACAAGCAACAAGGGAGGAGGGCTGCGTAACCTCACACGGCGTCTAAAAGCAACATCCATCTTACTAAGTCCAGGCTTGGGATCTTGCTGCTTATGTCGCTGTTGCACAACAAGCAAAGCGTGTGCGTAATGATGGCATCACAAATTTCCTTTTAATGAGATGCTTTCAACTTCCGAGCCTTGGTATTGCCTCATTAGGGCCACTTATCTAAAGACTCTGACAAAGCCGTCATCCGACGGAATGGAACCCTCCATGTAGCTCTCTTGATTAGTATCGTAGTTTGGCGATCATAAACATGGCGCTTGCATGTTTTATATTGTTTCGTTTCGTTTCGTGTTGAGCTCTGGGCAGATGTGTGCCTGGAGCTATTGGACCGTAAAGCACAGAGCTCAAATGCCAAGGTCCTCCAACACACCAATAGGTACATTTCTGCTATACGGAGTACTACATAGTACTAAGGTACCTATAGCAGTCAGAGGCTTACCCTTTTTGGTAGGCCCCAACGTTAGGTAGTAACCGCCATGCGGCCATCCAATGCTTATTACCTACACTACCACGAGACAGTCCAATTAACCTCCTCCATGATCAAGAACTACAGAGAAATAGTTACGCAGTTTTAGTGGTCATGGCTAGACCACACACTTTGTTGGTTGTATCTCGGGTTTCAGAAGTGTTCAAACTGCACGCCATGATTGTGGTTGCCTCTCGTCAGCCAAGATAGTACATAGCTCAATTTCGATGTTACACTTCTGAGCCCGAATTCCGGCTTGAGGAAGATCAGTCAACTATTCTTTCGGATTTCGCAATGTTCACAACCTACGGAGTAGACTATCCGTGTAAGTAAGCACCTCAAGCTAAACATTGATTTATGGGGATTTTAGTTAGCACTTGCTCAACTGTGTACCTAGCCAGCACCAAAACAAATTAGAGAAAAACAACATAGAATAAATCACGGAGGCATCCATCTTACAATAATAATTCCCACCCAGGCACCGGAAATATCAAGGCGTGCCTAGCCCATCCTGTCAAGAATCAAGATCTAGCTGGTAGTGGCGTATTCAACATGTGGCGGTGCTTGGCAGTGGCTCATTCTCAGCCTTGTTGCTGAGGCAGGAAAGGAGCTAAACGGCAACACATTGACGCATTACCACCAACAGCAACGGAGCTATAGCTGCTCCCCAGTATCAACGTCGCGAACAACAATCCATCACCACCACCACACTCATAGCGATAGACCGATTGGCCAACCGTACTTGTCCTCTTTCCATATACGCCCATCATGAAGCCCGTCGTCAGCGCCTTCAACGCGTGGTCCTGGTTCGCCAATTCCTTTGAACTGCCTTGACTTTATCATGATGAAGCTAACATGAAACTTCCAGCACCGTTCTCTCCGTTTTCGCCATTGTCATCCTCAGCGCCCTCGCAGGTCTCTACCGAAGCAACCATGAAGAATTCACGGGTGGCGTAGATGATCCCGAAGATGGCAAGGCAGTTTCAGAAACCATCTTCATCGCCGTCCTCGTCTACGTTGTACGTCATTCCACGATCAGACAGATTGGCCATGCGTGGCCCGAACCCAATCCCGCATCTTGCTGACAGAAATAGGCATTCTTCGTCTTTTGTGGCTTCCAAGGATTCCTCCATACCCGAGAAAGCCGTCGAGGCGCGATTGCTCTGTAACAGTACTACCGATCGGCGAGCAGAGCACGACACGGAACCTGGCGTCCTGGGAATTTTTATTGACTTGAGTCTGGAATGGCATTGTATTTGAAAGATGAGCATTATAGTTGTATGGGCAAAAGAGAAGATCAGCACGAGATGATGATCAAGACGACGCGTACACTGTCCATAGGCACGCTATGTACGGAATGTTCTTTGGCTTAGACGGTTTATTCAGTTTTGCTTCCCACTATTCACCTTGCAGTAACCTGCTGTCTTGTGTGGCTCAAAAAAAATCATACTACTATGTTTAACGACCCGGCCAGCGCTACGCATGTTCAAGCTTGGTTTGCTTTAGCTATGTTCGGTTGACCACCTTTTCGGTATCTCAACGGAAAGTGCCAATCCGTAGGTGCGTAGATAGGAGGGGAAATGGATGCTCGGCCATGCATCCGTACCACGTACAACGATGGGAACCCCTGGTGAGAAGCGTCGCGATTAGGCGACGGGCCGGCACAGTGGGGCCGCTCCGGACAGTGCCGAACGGATGAAAGCCGTCGGCGGCCGTCCGAAAGTACCATTGTTTGCAGCTTTGTACGTCACAGCAATCTCATCGACATTGGGTTTTTGAACAAGGTAACGTAAACATGCGCCCCTCTTTTAAACAAAAAAGATCGTCATATTTGCGAAAAGATAGCGAAAGGGTCATAAACATCGTGCCAGTTTCCGCCGTCATAAACCAGCGTACGACCATGACGATTGGTCGATAGCTCGATCTTTCTAGCAACTGATAGAGGAGCTCCCACAAGATGAAAAGCCAAACGCCAGATTAAAGAAAGAGATGTCGGCATGGATGCCCATTCTTGCTTGGCTGGCCCCGTTAATGTGACGAAGAAATGTTCAACCCTGACTGTAGTGTCGTCATCGATCGATCTTCATCATGATTCGGATTGAATGCTCCGTGTGTCCTTGTACGACGAGCATTAAAAAGAGGAGGCTCTTCCGAGCAACTTAGAAACAATTTTGAATTCCTCCAGCCCGAGAAGTTAATTGCACAATTGACTGTAATCCAGCCACTAAAATGACGACTCAAAACTTCAAGAATGGTGGATTCTCCCTCACCACTCTCTACAATTCAACGACATAGCAACTGACCAAGAATTAGAGAAGGATATTCCCGTCTCTCACCAGGACTTCCCTGGTACTGAGAGGGAGATGCCCAACCCCAAGGCCACTCGTGACGAATTACCTGAGGCCGGCGGCAATTCCAGAACATACCAAGGCTCTGGAAAGCTCAAAGGAAAAAAGGCACTGATCACCGGAGGCGACAGTGGCATTGGTGCTGCTTCTGCTCTTCTGTTCGGCCGGGAGGGCGTTTCGGACATTGTCATCGCCTATTTACCAGAGGAGGAGAAGGATGCTCAGGACACCAAGAAGCAGGTTGAGAACGAGGGTGCCAAGGTCCACCTCATCTCTCTTGACCTCTCGAAGCAAGAGAATTGCAAGAAACTTGTTGAATTTGCCGTGGAGAAAATGAACGGAATTGACATTCTATTCAACAATGCAGCTTGTAAGTTTATCTGACAGTATCGAGCAAATCGAGCAAATCTGACAATCGATCTAGACCAAATGATGGTCCAGGATATCAAAGACCTCCCTGAGGAGCAATGGATCCATACCTTCAACATCAACATCCACTCCTTCTTCTATATCTCCAAATACTCCCTCCCTCACATGAAGGCCGGAGCAACTATTATCAACAATGCTTCCATCAACGCCTACATCGGTCGCCCTGATCTCCTCGATTATACATCCACAAAGGGTGCGATTGTTTCATTCACACGCGGTCTCAGCAATCAATATGTCAGTAAGGGCATTCGTGTTAATGCTGTCGCTCCTGGACCCGGTACGTTAAACTGATCCCACCAATGTGTACCACGACTAACAATGCATAGTTTGGACACCTCTCATTCCCGCCACTATGGACGACGAAGCGCAAAAGCAGTTCACAAGCCCCATGGGACGACCTGCTCAGCCATCAGAGATTGCTACTTGCGTGGTCTTCCTGGCATCGAGTGACAGCTCGTGTGTTAGTGGACAGACCATTCACTGCAATGGCGGTACCGTTGTCAATGGCTAAGATAGGAATAAAAAAGAAGGACCGGGTAATGAAATTAATGAAACATTAATCGAAGAATAAATACTGAACCTCCATTGTAGTTCCAGCCCTGAAATGTAGTATTGAAGTGTACAGTACGAAATTTCAATAAAGTTACACTGTATCTTAGTTCGTTTGTGATGACTTCCTTCGTCAGTCCCAATTCCACCTTGGGAATGACCCTTCGATGGTGAATATTGTTCAAATTTCAGATTCTTAGTTAGCCTCTGACAATCTCGTAATCTATTTGAGAGCATTTGTTTTTCGGGGTTATTCGCACTCGTCCTCACCACTCTCAAGAACCCTGGAGCCTTCAAGCTCAAGAGCTGACATGAGATGAGCAACTCAAGACAATCATCAATTTCCCCCCAAAGATACAGCTCAGCATGAGACTCATAAACACACATACTCTCCAACTTGAGTTTTATCCTGGAGGATCACGTCGATATGCCATTCTATCCCACGTCTGGGGTGATGATGAGGTCACTTTCAAAGATGTTGCTTCAGGTACTCCTGAGGAAGCGCTTCATCTTGAACGTTATAGTAAGCTACGCGAGAGCTGCAGAATGGCACGCTCTTTCAAGCTGGACTATTTATGGATAGATACTTGCTGTATCGATAAAACTAGCAGTGCCGAGCTTTCGGAAGCTATCAACTCGATGTTTCGTTGGTATGCTGAGTCGACTATCTGTATCGCCTTTCTTGAAGACATCCCCACCTCAGAGTCTGAAGAGGAACGGAGAAAGACATTTGTAACCAGTCGTTGGTTTACGAGAGGCTGGACACTTCAAGAGCTCATCGCACCGGGAAAGGTCATTTTTTACGGGCGAGGCTGGCAGCAAATGGGTAGCAGAGCTGAGCTCAAAGAAGACATAAAGAGTGTCACTGGGATTAATTATGAACTTCTCGACGCAACACATCACATGGCTGAGATCAGGAAACGTCAGCTTGGTGAGTATTCTGTCGCTCAGAAGATGTTCTGGGCTGCTGGGCGCGAAACAACGAGGCCAGAAGACATAGCTTATTGCCTGCTGGGTATATTCGATATTAACATGCCTTTGCTCTATGGGGAAGGCCAAGTCAAAGCTTTCAAGCGGTTACAAGAAGAGATTCTCAAATCTACCGATGATGAGTCAATTTTTGCTTGGCGGCAGCCTCGATATCGGGTCGAAGGAAAAACGTATTGGAGCCTTCTTGCAAACAGCCCTTCAGCTTTCGATCTCGGCCAGACCTCAAAAGATCTCAATGGCATGGTGCCTCAGAGATCCAAATACCTGTCTCTTAGGTCAGGAAGTTCCATGTCTATGACAAACCGTGGACTGGACTTAGAGCTCCCATTAACGCCGTTCCCAATCGATACGTCGGGGACGATTTTCTTGGCTTTCTTGAATTGCGAGTTTCGAAGAGGCCAGACATCCATCAATCCAGCTATCCTCCTTCAGAGGGCAGCGTGGGACAGAAACTCACATTTTGTGCGAATTCGACCTGACATATTAGCGTTGTCCATGATGAATAGCATTATTCTTCCCGATGAACTCTTGAACATGATACGAAGTGGCCAAAAAGATGTTTTGCAGGAGGCCATTCCGCGACAAATCTTCGTCCCACACAGCACCCCGGACCTGCGATATTTGAAGGGTGTGATATTTCGCCCAGAGATGAAGGGCCTTGCAAAGGAGAGTAAGATGGTTGTCAGAGTGCGCTCACGATCACCAACATGGCAATATTTTGTCGATGCTCGAAGCGGTCCTTCCACCACGCCAGAATCATATGAGATTAACTTTGACCTAGCACCTGGTCCTTCACTTGGGTCATTACAAGCATCCATCGTTCTGGGAGTGTTGGAGCTTGACCTAGGCAGCTCAGATTCCATGCAGTGCTTGGTCATGGGATTAGAACCCTTGCCCCCAAACCCGTTTCAAACGATGCCTCTTTACTTCTTACCGTGGTACGCATTTGAAGAACAGACTTGGATTGCAAAGCAGGACTTTTCAAGAGTTTTGGACAAAACACAGCGAAGGCTGGAGTGGAGAGTTCCGGATACCGTGACAGCGAAAATTGGAATTGAGAGCAGGCATTCGAGTTTATTCTATAGTCTGACTTTGGAGATTGAGAACAGCCGGAAAGTTAATACCTGGTTTTGAGGTCAGACAGACTTGGTCCGGGATTTCGCTTGTTGATACTATACAGGAATATCTGTCATCTCCAGCTTGGTATGAACTGCTTCTGGCACCTCGAACGGCCTCTCCTTGTATATCAGATCCATACCCAGTAGCTCTTCGTCGGTGATTTCTGGCCGCTCATCAATCACTCTCTTCAGCTCACGTGCCTTATCCGTGACATCCTCAATCTCAACAATCCATTCATTCGCCCACTGCTCACTTAAGGCTCCTGGAATGCCAATTTGAATACTCCTATAGGGCAGCACCTCTAGCTTCGCTGTCCTCTCAGGATCCCACTGGATTCTCACATCCACCGTCTTCTCACGTTTTATGCCAGGGCTGAGCTTATGGGAGTGGCTTGATAGCACACCTAGCTCAAGGAGGGTGATGAAGTGCTTGTGTTTCATTCGTAAAGCCAAGATGCGGGATTGGCCAGGGTCTTTGTAAGAGTATCCGGCGCGGTACATCATCCATGTCCAACTGGGCTTGATCCATGTCATTCGACCTGGCTTAAAATCCGGGGATGCATTGAGTTTCTGCGCATCTACAGCAGCTTTAGCAATGGATTCTTTGTAGGCTTGATATACTGTTATAGTGGTGTCATTGTAATAGGCACGAACTTGGCGATAGGGAACGACTGAAAGTGCTGTTGACATTATGGACAAGTCGATTCAGGTCGATGGTGTCTGTCCGAGGATATTAAGACATTATATGGTGGCCACTCGAACCATAAACGGCCCTTGGCTTTGTATTTATAACATACTGCCTACAGCAACGCCCTTTAGTTTGGTGACTCCTTCGGTGAGAGGATTGGCGGTGGCTCAGCTTTCAGCTGATATAAACAGTCCCCAAACAGTATATCTAACTGTAGTAGCGCAAATTTCTATTACATTCTTCGGAGCTGGAATGGCCGAGTGGTCTAAGGCGGTGGTTTTAAGTTAATCAGTTTAACACCACTCTCGAAAGAGGCGGGAGTTCAAACCTCCCTTCCAGCAAATTCACTTTTGCCCATTTTTACTCATAGGAGTACATCTTACCCCTCTGCCTCTAATTCTGTCCTTGTCTTTTTCCTTCCTGTTGAGACTGTTGGTACCTAGGTTAGTAGTCTTAGGAAGTTCTGGACGATCGTCGGATCGCAGTTTGTCCGATGGATTTGGAACTTACACTGAAGCATATCCCCTGTAACTATCGCGACGTCACAGGTGCGCCCCCTGTAGACACACTGTATGTAACCGTGGCCAAGCTCCCCAAAAAATGTCGAACTAATTGCCCCACTTCACGAAGCAGCTCTAAACCAGTGTGCGCCTGACCAAAAGCTGAGGCGCTGGTTGCTGGAAGGAAGCCTAGCTTGGAAGATGGGGAATGAGGGGTCCTGCCATGTGCTCCATCCAGCTTGCTGTAGTTACCTACGCTTTGGCTCTAACCACCTACCTTACCTTACTTGGAGGCATCTATTGTTGAACTCCAAGTATCCGGAGACGCTGACCCGACAACATCGCCAAACGACAATCTTTTTGTGGCATTTGGTCACCTGCGAAGCGATTTGTTATCAACCAGCCCTAAACTTTATTGACCTTATCGACGTCGACGACCACCTCTCACCGAAGACCCACGATACAGCTTTAGCTTTACCTTTGGCATCGTTGAACAGCGAATGGGCACTATCTTGTCTTACGCAAGTCAACCTTTCGCCTTGGGTCCGATTCTCCAAAACAGCTACCTCGCCGTCGGACCTTCAGAAGCTTTGCATGTCTCCGCCGGAGCAGTCCACGACTTCATCTAGCCAGCCGGCCTTAGACGAGACGCTGTCTAACAAACCCAATGTCGAGTTGATGTCTGTTCAGGACCCTGCGGCAGGGACGCCTGAAACTTCCGGTAGTCATAGTCATGGATCGAGCACCAGGGACAACAACGGAAAGGGGGACAGTTTGATCGATTTTGGTGATCAGGCAGCTGACGTTCCATCACACGACCATAAGGCTGACGCTGCTGAGCAAGGTCCCTTACAAAGGCTCAAGGAAAAGCAAGCTGCCGATGATTATCAAGCTTCTAGCGGTTACCTGAATACTCGCGCCTCAACAGCAGGCAAAATCAAACCTATTGCATTACCGTCGTCGAACGATACTACTACACAATACCTCACCGCCGAGCCATCCACTTATGTTGACCCCACGCCTGCGACCCCAATAACCTCTCAGCCCCCTTCGCGGACCCCTTCAAATGCTGCACGTTCTAATGTCTCTGGAGATTCTACCCCTCCTAAATCAGATGCAGAGTTTGATGAGAGACGATATGTAAGTGAAGATGAGCATGAAGGCGGTTCACAGTCCGAAATCCAGAGCATCATGGAGCAGTTTAGCGAGTTTGGTGGCGGTCCTGGCGAAGAAGAAGTCATGAGTCCCAGACTTGAGATTGCCTCGCCGATGCTAGGTCATCCCGTTCAACATCCTCCTCGAAAGTCTAGTCTGGAACCTCTTGTGCCTACGCTCTCTGGTCAGATGCAGGGCCTACACATCTCCACGAGTTCCCCTCCAGCTGAGACCCCAAACAACACTCGTGTCGAGGATCTGGGGCCACCTGTCCCACCCAAGGATGGTGTTCATGGAACACCGCCACGTCCTAAAATAGAGCGGAACATGAGCGTTGCTTCTCCAAGCTCGCCAGCGCAGCCGCACCGGCCTCCACCTCCTGAGCCAGAGCCCGAACCTACTCAACCATTTGATTTCCACCGGTTTCTCGAGCAATTGCGAAACAAAAAGGCAGATCCTGTGGCAAGGTACCTCAAGTCTTTCCTCTCTGAGTTCGGCAAACGGCAATGGATGGTGCATGAGCAAGTCAAGATTATAGGGGATTTTTTGGCCTTTATTGCCAACAAGATGGCACAATGCGAGGTCTGGAGGGATGTATCTGACGCGGAGTTCGATAATGCTCGAGAGGGGATGGAAAAGCTGGTCATGAACAGATTGTATACTCAGACATTTTCGCCTGCAATCCAAGCGCCTAAACCGATCCCTGGGGCGAAGCCAAAGCGCAAGGGCGGCGATATACCTCTTGGCCCCGGTAGGCGAGGCCAACACCAAGAGGATGTTGAGAGAGATGACATTGTCAGACAGAAGATGAGCATTTATGGATGGGTGAGGGAAGAACATTTGGACATTCCGCCAGTCGGCGACAGTGGACGTCGGTTTTTGAAACTAGCCCAGCAAGGTCAGTTCAAGATAACAGACTGTCGGTATTTACTAACTTGATCCAGAGCTGCTAAAAATAAAATCCTACAGAGCACCGCGAGACAAGATCATTTGTGTGTTGAACTGTTGCAAGGTGATCTTTGGTAAGACTACTGAACGGTTACAGTTGCATAGTCATATTGACGACTGACAGGTTTATTAAAACATAACAAGTCTGATTCCTCAGCTGACTCCTTCATGCCCCTCCTTATTTATGTTGTACTGCAATCAAATCCAGAGCACCTGGTGTCTAATGTGCAATACATCTTGCGCTTCAGGAACCAGGAAAAGCTGGGGGGTGAAGCAGGGTACTACTTGTCATCGTTGGTATGTTAGTTTGCTTCGGAAGTAGTCACAATCTAACATATTATAGATGGGTGCTGTTCAGTTCATTGAAAATATGGATAGAACTACTCTAACGATTACTGATGAGGAGTTTGAGAAGCATGTGGAAGAGGCCGTCTCAGCAATTGCTGAAAAGCATGCCCAATCACCGCCAGGCACCCAGCAGCCAGTATTCAACGAGAAGTCTGGGCCCCTTCCCGGAGAAACTTCTGCTCGTCCTTCTCTTGACGGACCACGCAGTTCAACTTCGAATGACGAGTATACGGGCGAAGAGAAAGCTGCCATCACTGGTCTTCTCAAGACTATACAGAAACCTCTTTCCAGCATTGGGAGAATGTTCTCTGACGACCCTGGTCCTTCCATGGATCCCGGACCCAGTAGTGCGCCTCGGACACCAGCGCCACCGGAGCGTCTCAGCCGTGAGGAGCCTCGCGAACATCAGCAAGTACCTTCAAAACATGCATTATCTGCTGAAGAGGCTGCCGCGCGGCAGGCGAGCGCTGAAGCAGCCGAGGCTCAGCGGCTTTCGCGTGCAGAGCATGCGAATGTTGTCGAAACATTAGCAGGCATGTTCCCCGACTTGGACAAGGATGTTATAAGTGATGTGGTTTACGAGAAGGAGGGCAGGTAAGTGATTCTCAAACCGACGCCTTTCGGGCTAAAGCTGACGTGTTTCTATAGGGTCGGCCTGGCTGTTGATGCGTGTCTCGCGCTCTCAACATAATGCAACTGGGGAGCATATAATTGTTGGAGCTAAGAAGCTGCCTCTGCTCCTTTTAATTGGCCTTGAAGCGTCGCGGTGCGATTTCAAGTTATGACAACCGCCATGGTTTCCACTGGCAGCAGGATAGAACAGAAATACCATCATCTTTTTTTTTTTTTCAATGAGGTCCAGTGTCCCACCGCGTCCTGTTACAGATATTGATGATCTCGCTGAGCTTAAAAAGATCAACACCAAGCGTTATGCATACCACGTTGCAGCCGCAGTGACACCTTATCTCAGATCTCGTCGATCACTTTTTCAAGCATCCGGCAAACTCAATATTCCTGGCAGGATTTCTGTGCTAGCAAGATCTGCATCAAGCGTTCCTGTACGAGAGCTAACCTACCTGATTCCTAATTCAGACTTTTACATTTTCTACATTTTGAGAAGGCTTTACTAATGAGTTATTTTTGAGCTCGTTGGTTGCATTCTATGAAAGAATTACTTGTCTATGCAGTTCAAATGCCTGTCTTTTTTAGTTCGAACGATCCTTCATCCTGGTAGGGCAGAAAGCACGGCCTAATATTAACGACATTGACTCAGGCCGTTTCAACTTTCTCACGTACAACTTATATGATCCTTGCCTTTGAGTCATATCATCGATTCACTGACCCTCCAACGCTTATAAGAAGGATCCTCCTAAAAGCCTCTCAAGCTCTTCTTTGGGAATCGACTTTCTGGGAGACACTTCACCAATCATGCCTCGAAAGCTAGTAACGGTCCGTCACGTCTCGGCTATAACAGCCGTCCCGCGGGCAGACCGTATTGCGGCTGCCACTGTGGATGGTTGGACATGGGTCGTTCCCGTTAACGTCTTTCAAGTCGGGGATCGCGCTGTATTCTTCGAAATAGACTCGCTTTTACCGGCCACCGACCCGCGATTTGCTCCTCTGGCGCCGAAGATCATCGGGCCGGGCGGCCCCACTTCCGCACCGGATATTAAATTCGGGGGGTGTTGTCGCAGGGGCTTCTGTTGCCTTTGGCCAGTTTTCCGGAAATAGTCGCTGAACTGGATGGTATTCCATCATACAAGCTACGGGACATCTCATTTGAGGATATTCTCCACGTGAGGAAATTCGAGAAGCCTGCTATGCCATTGCAACAGACTTCGGCATCAGAAACACCTTTGCCTGAATATCCTGACTTTATACCACGAACAAATCAGGAGCGCGTGCAGAACCTCACAGATGTATTCAGTGAGCACGGTACTGAGATATTTGAGGAGTCGACCAAGATGGACGGCTCATCCATGACAGTCTTTTACCTCAACGACGCCAACCCTCTCGCCAACACAGTCCCTAGCGAGGCGAGACATAACGGTGTGAGTGTTTGCTCGCGGAATCGTATTCTGGTAGAGAATCATCCGCGAAGCCCATCTCTCTTTTACTCCACCGCACGAGCACTCAACCTCCACGAGACATTGCCCAAGATCAGGCGTAACATAGCTCTACAGGGTGAACTTTGCGGGTCGAGCATACAGAGTAATTTTGAAGGATTTCCCAAGGGAACACATTGCTTTTTTCTCTTTGCAGTGTATGATATTGATGAGCAGCGATACCTGCCACCACGAGAGGTGTACGAGACGTGGGCACCGCTTCTGGGTGTTAAGCACGTGCCTGTACATGGGTACCGGCCTTTGAACGAGATGGGTTCGCAGATCACAGATCTCGTCAATCGAGCGGAAGGAAGGGGGATAAATGGGCGGAAGAGGGAGGGGATTGTGTTCAAGCGCGAGGATGGGCAGTTCAACTTCAAGGCGATATCCAACTCATACCTGCTCACACATGGAGAGTAGTGAAAAATGAGGGGGAGCATTGTTATGCTGCATCGAATTTACGAAGGGTACAATTGAGAGTGCTGTTTGCATAGTTAAAAGGTTCTATTGACAAAAATGAATGATTTGATGCGCTTCCGTAGTAAACAAAGTCTTTCGCTGTAAACCTCGAGTACTTCTCTACTCCGTCTCCAAAATTTAAGAGAGAGATACCCTCTCTTTGTACAAGTAGCCAAAGATCGTATCGAATAGACAAGAGCCAGATGGCGTTAGCTGTACAAGCATATCCAAATATGCTAGGTAAGCCGTATTATGGACAGTGAGACTCAACCGTTACCAGCTGTTCCTCAAAACCCTCTATAACCGCCTCCATTCCCATACCCATATGTTTGTTGCTTGTTGAGAGGGCTGTAGCCTGTATCCCCCGAGTCGTATCTTCCCATGCCTACTGGACTTGGGTCTCGATTGGTCCACGCTACAGGCGCGGCGTTATCCATCAGATACTGAGAGTCGTTGTTATGCTCCATGTTGGTAAGGTTTCGTTGCATAGGGGGGCTCGAAGACAGGTAGTTCGGTGGTGGTTGTTGATATCCTGACTCAGCGTCCGTGTATTGGTCAGGGGACATGGCTCGGCCCGAGACCTTCTCTTGAGGTGCAGGCATGGTGAACATGGAGATGTTGTTATTGTCCTTACGATCAAGGAGCAGAGAATTCCGGGCATCCAGAGGTGTGAGAGTGTCCATATCACGCTGAGCTTTCTCTGCAAGATCCGTCAGTATATACTCCAGAGGCTTGTGGTTTTCATATCAACTTACCCATCTCCTTTCTTCGCTTGCGGTGTGGATTCTCCTTGACGAGAACATTGATCGCGTTCCAAATGATGAGGATAACCAAGAGACCAGTCAGAGCAGACTGGACTGCGATGAGGACTACACCAGCGATTGTCTTGCTGTCCTGAGGGATCTTGAGCTCATGAACAAAGACGAGAATGAGAGCAACAGACAGGACGCGAACCGTCTGAATGGCGATACCAATGATGTTGCTAGACTTTCGCTCGAAGGGTCGAGTCCAGACGAGGAGACACAAGAAAACGGACTCAACGACAAGCTGAGCAATGGTCTGAGCCATGCCATTGCCATCACCAACAGCGAGAGTGCAGCCCTTGGCAAAGAGATAGACAATAGTGGGGATGAAGATCCACCAGTAGTCTTTCTTATAGGATTCATAGAAAAGAGAGTACTTGACCCAAATCTCCTTGTCGTTGTACAAGGCATCAGCGTTGCCCTCAGTGCTCTTCAGTTTCTTGACTGTACTGAAGATTTTCCAAGTAAACCATCCAAGAATGGCTGTAAAAACTGCGAGCGTGACGCCAGCTAATAGCTGTGCGACCCATGAGTCACCCACTGTGAACTGAAACACACAATACAATACCCAGATACCGTAGAGGACGAGAATTAGGTGGGTGATGGTTCGGGCAATGGACCCCCAGTAATGCTCACGGAAGCCAGCTAAAGATTGTGGAAAGCTACCAAATAGAGCCCAGAATTCGAGGATGGCCTTGACGAGAAGAATACTGACAATGATGGTCGCGATGATGATGGCGACAACGAGCAGAACCGTCATGAAAGTGTTGGACTTGGGAACACTATACTGCTGAACGAAGGCCGAGATTCCAGCAACCGAGAGGGTCTGGTTCTTAAGGCTTTGCCCCCCTTCACTCCCCGACGCATCTCCGACCGAAGTCTCAACGCCACGGATGGCCAGGTTGGCCAAGGACTCGAAGGCGTTGAAAGCGCGCTTAACTTTGTACGAATGATCCTCGGGAGGGCTGGTAGAATTATCAGAGAAGACCAGGGTAGCATTTCTGAGCACGTCGAAGCTGTCGTTCTTGAGATCACCTCCGGTCATGTTACGGAAGTTATCGATAGACTTCTGCAGTGACTCCCATGGGATGATGCCGGCTGAGAAGCCGAAGTTCTGGGCAAAGCTGCGGTACACAGGGGGGTAGTCGACCGAAAGCATGCCGTTCATGGCCATACCCTGAAACCATCCGAGAGTCTCGGCAAAGCTTGGACTAGGAGCACCACCATGTCCAGCGCCTGCAGTACCACTAAGGGCGGATGAAGCTGCGGATGCACCTGAGACGAGAAGGGCGGCGCCAACAACACCGACGGAAAGATAAGTGACTGCGGGAACCGAGGCCGTCTTTCCATTGCCGACCTGAGCCTGGAAACACGCAACCTGCTCATCGGGATTATCGACTGCCACCAGTCGGAGAGTTGCTTGAGCTGAAATATCAGGGACCTGGAAAGCAATGGAGGGAACTTTATTGGCCCACTCCGAGTCTATCTTTTGACTTCCAGCGGCAGCGAAATGCTTGTCGGGGAGAGGGCAGAGCTGTGGGATGGGGGTGTCTTTGCTGCAGGGGTTGATTGAATTCTCGTAGACTTTGCGACCATATGCATTGACTTCGAGGATGGCCGAGACATTTCGCTGCTTGTCACTGGTACCCGCAACATCGAAAGTGACAGTTTGTTTGTCATTGTCGTAACTAATATCCAACTTGTCAATGCTGATACCGGCCTCTGAACCACAATCAGTAACACCAGATGTCTTGAGAATGTTGTCACCAAGAACCCCGGTGATGAGGGTTGCGGCCGTTATGGCCACCTTCCAGGCACTCCAGTTAGAGTGAACGCGGGTCATGTTGAGTGTATGTCGTGCAAGATGATACTACAGAGATACGGGAAATTCGTGGCTCGTTCGGAATTGATCGAGGAATCAGCTTGAGAGAGTTTCTGTCGTGAATAGGTATGTCGATATATCCAAAGAAGAATGGGATATAGATAGAGTAGGAAAGATCGAGGAATAGTTGGAATTCGTTTGATGGAACAAGACTTTAAGGAATGGTATCAAGAGACGATGAATGAAATATGAGGATGGAAACCGATATGGAAAGAGAACAATGAATGTCCGAGATCAAAAAGATATCTCAAAGGTGTCGGCAAAGCAGTGCAAGCACGCGCACAGAAGTAGGCCGAGGATCAACCTGGAAAGAAGAGAAGATAAGGGGCAACGAATTGCCTGAAAACCCGTGAATGTCCAACGTGCCGGCGTTAAAGTCGTTCGAGGGTGTTTCGTATCGTGAGACCAGAGTCTTTGTTGGAGACGTGATGAGGTCGTCGTCGAGTCTAATTTTGGTGGTTGTGTGTAGTTGGTTTGGTGTTTTCCTGTCTATGTGACGCTGAAATGAGAGGCTAGTAGTCGACAATGCCGCAAAGGAAGCAGCATGTCCTTGTACGGACGGCAAAATCAGATAGTTGACAAAACAATAGAGACTGTGAGAGATTTGGAAAGAAAAAAAAGAGACGCTTCTTGTTTACTCCAGATTATAATGCAACAAACAGAGATATATGAAACGATGAGAGTAGGAAGAGGGAGAAGAGGGAAGGAATAGATTCAAAGTCAACAGGGAGACAAGTACAGTAAAAGGCAAAGACGCGAGCCAAAAGAAAAGAGGAGAAAGTCCCAAGAGGAGAAAGGATGAACGAGACGAGCAAGGAAGCCAAGGAGATGCAAGGTTTGGAGTGGAAAAGAAGGGGGTGACGAGGTTGAAGCGACCCCTGGACCACGGCTTCCCAGATGGTATTGGGGGAGAAAGTGCTCTACAGAGCCTCACACCAGGAGTCTCTCCAACTCTTTAGCGTCCAGGGTCCCCTCCAAAGTCCCCAAATCACAGTCCTCAGTGGGCAATTTGAATCATCCATGAGACGGATCCCATCCACTTCCTCTTCCATCGAACCATACACCGAAAAGAAAGTTGAACCCCTGAGACCGCCAATGCCAGGGGTCAGGGGTATTTTAGTGGTTTATCGTCAGCCCATCCAATCACGGACAATTAACGGCGGCCAAGCTTGTTGCTGCAGGGGTTTCCCTCGCGGGTGGCTGACCAGTCTCGGGCCAAGCTAACGTCAACCCCAGCTTCTTCTGAAACCAGCGAGTTGAGGTCGAAAAACTTGGTTGAGAACTGGTTCGGTCGAGCCTGGTTTGCTTGTGTACGAAAATGCGTATGAATATGCATCCATCGTGTGTCTGGAAGCAAATCGTTTAATGAAGAGTTTTCACGGTTCTTGGGGCAGTTGTTGGACTGAATTACTGAGAATATTGAGCTGAGAACTAATAATAGAGATACTGGTTAAATATCTCCACCATTATCAGCCTCTTATACACATGGCTTACACAAACGGACCACGGATACAGAACACAAATACTACTGTTGATCAACAAACACATCCCGCTGTCTCGCTACTCATTAATTAGACAAAGATCTGTCATTTGCCACTCTCGAGCCAATATTTGCATAACCAATAATCACAGTAGACAACCGTTGATTCTTGTGGCCAGGATCCGTTATAAACCATCTCATATCATGACTGTCCAAGCTTCATATCCTCACTATGCACAAGTGCGTATAAAGTGCAAGGTAGAGCCTGCGTTCTACAAACGTTACCAATCCATCGCTTCACCCTTCATCCGCTCAATTCTGCAGGTGTGACTTTCCTCACAAATCACGTCTCAGAGTGTCCCATGGCTAAGGGACACTACGTTTTATGTATCGACTAACACGCGACCCGAAACTCAATCGTGTCATAAAATGTCATCACCAACTCAGGTCACACAAATCAGAAAGTTCATGTACACAATCTTGAATTCATGATCGTCGTCACTAATTCACAAGTTCAGAGACGGTAACCTTTAGCAAGAAGCATTGACCTCAATCTGCGTCTTCATGGATCTTTGATGAACCGCCAAAATAGCCTCCCCAGCGCAATCACCGCCAAGTTATTACATTTCTATACCATAGATAGAAACAGCTTCCCATAATCTAACAAGCCTAATCCATCGTTTTCCTGCCGAGCCTGGAACGTTCACGCGACCAGGCCATTGCAAATCTCGGTAATCCGAGTATCCCAGCTACTAGCATTGAATCCCTGACGATGGCAATTGCCTCCCATGAGGCG